AGGAAAATTAAAAATACTACAGTGAAGAGCACAAGAGAATAACTGTATATTAAATTATCCCATAACCAGCAGCAGTCTGAAAGAAATCTGGTATTTTTTCTCGTGTTTTTCCTTTATTTTTCTCAAATTTGATTTTTCTTGTTTCAATTGTATTGAATGGCTCTATTTTAGTGAAAATTTAGAGAGTGCTATTTATTGCTTGCTGTTAGAAAATAGCACTTAGTGGTTCTGAGTAATGCAAAGAATATTTTGAAAGTAAAAATTGAAATAAACTGTACTCTGTTTAGCAACTTTTATAGTGGAAGTCCAAGATGTGCCTTATTTTTGAATAAATATTATGCCAGCCTTAAACTCCAGCAGTAACAGAAGCTATCCAGAGTAAGATCTTTGTGTTAGTGGAAGCACTGTTGGAACTATAGATAGCCACTGTAAGTTCCAAATAAAATTCTCAATCTTAACTCTTCCCCTTAACTTCTGGAATTTAAAATGAATTTGTGACTTCAACTTAATGTTATCTTTAGAATGTTATCTTTTATCTCTGCCAAGATCAATAGATATATTAGCTTTTATGGACTGCTGTTTTGCCAAGGCTGAATGAATGGCCAAACATCATAACTAGACTAGCTACCTTTAAGTTACTTTGGCTATTTCTAGTGTTATAGCCTATCATGTAAATAAAATTTTAGAAGTTAGATGTCATTGTGTAGGAAATATTTTGCCATTTAGGTTCAACAGTGTTGTTCCCATGTTCTTCAAATTCCTAAACAATCAATAAGATTTGGGTTTATGTTAATTGTCACATAAAGCCTTTTCTTTTTAGGTAGTGGGACCAAACGTACCCTCAGCAATTTTGCTAGTGACATTAAGCTGAATTGTGCAGTTGATAAAATAGAAGGAATGGATGCCATCCAAAGAGACCTGTACTGGCTTGGAAAGAGAGCCTTAATTAGATTCCACAAGTCCAAGTGCAAGGTGCTGTACCTGAATCCGGGCAATCCCAAATGTATGTACAGACTGGGAGAAGAACTCATTGAGATCAGCCCTGCAGAGAAGGACTTAGGGGTTCTGGCAAAAGAAAAACTTAACATGAGTCAGCAGTGTGCACTGGGACTTGCAGCCTGGACGGTCAACACTATCCTGGGCTGCATCAAAAGAGTGGTGGCCAAGAGATTAACAGTTTGCGCTTGCAGACCAGAAGGCCAGCTGTGTTCTGTGCTGCATTAAAAGAAGATTGGCCAGCAGTGAGAGGGAGGTGATTGTCCCCCTCTACTTATTTCTTGTGAGGCCCCATCTGGAGTACTGTGATCAGGCTTGGAGCCCCCAGCACAAGAAGAACATGGAGCTCTTGTAACGGGTCCGGAGAAGATGGTGCCTTCTCCTATGAAGAAGGGTTGAGGAAACTGGGCTTGTATAACTTAGAGAAGAGAAGGCTCCAGGGAGACCTCATCATAGCCTTCCAATATTTGAAATATTTTTCTTACAGGTGTAGCACCAGAACTAAAATCTGTCCCGCAAGAGTGGTTATCAAAAGATGTGAAAATAAAGAGAGTGAATATTGTCCAGCGTTACATCAATTTTCAAATCCTGTGGTGAATAGTTGCATCAAAATTCTGATCCACAGAAATAATCTACCTCTGGCTCTAAGTTGCTTGCTTATGTGGAGACTTAGTTCTTAAGAAAAGCATTTCAAACTCTGATGACCACTGAGAGTGGCAGGAGTTTATGAGGTCCACCTCTGCACATCTCTTTCATCACCTCTGGTAATTACAGATAAAGGCAACTCTGGTTTGGGATTACTATTCCTTCTGGCATGGATTATTGCAAGGCTTCTAGCTCTAGCTGAGCACAACAGCACATCTACTTTAGAACTTTGAGGGGGGAACTTGAACTAAATTCCTCTACAAACTGGAGCCTGAAGAAATAAATACCAGGCTTTGGTGTTGTTTACATTAAATGAAGTGAATATTTTAATATATTAAAAGTTGTTAACCTCTTTCATAAGCTACTGGAAACAAGTGACTAAGTTTGAAGAATGAAACATGATTCCCAATAGCTTGCTTTTCTAACATATTCATGTGATAATAATTGCTTGTCAAGCCAAGCCCTGATCCACCTTCTTTCTCAGCAAAATCTCCTGCAAAGTGGGCCTGATGACAGAGAAGACTGTAGAAGTACCTTTTATTGCTCCCCCTCTTTGTGTGCTCTCCAAGACTAATTTGCTATCTGGGGTGAATTCTGACATTTCTGAGTGTCTGTATAGTCTCTTGTTGATCATAGGTCTCACATTTAATCTACAGAGATCAGAGGGTGTGTGATGTCTCGGTGACATAATGTGGCCATACTAATCTGCTGTATTCCTTCCTTGGAAGCTAACTGCCATGTGCTGTGCTATTCTGCAAAGCATCCAATGATCTGTGTCAGTAGTTCAAACCTTACCTACAGGAAAAAAATGTGGCTCAGTCCAGCATCGCGCAAGGAGCTGTGTTTTTCTCTCCAGCAGGATTAAGTTGGTTTCAGCATTCTCTGCTTTAAGCAGAGAAAGATTTAGAAACAGAATTTACATTTAAAAATCAAGATCTTTTTCTTAAACAGCTACTCTTTAAATCAGCTTTTTATTTTCCAGATTTTTTTAACCATCTATTTTCAACAAATTCTGTAAGTTTTAGTCTCACAGTGGGTGCCTGAGATTAAGAGAATCTGGAATACCGAAGCAGCATAGATCTGAAACACAAAATATTCTACAAACCTGCCATGAAAATGTATGAACTTAGGCTGAAAACAGCTTTCAGGCTTTTGGCTGATAGTTGATAATAGGGAACTAATGATTTTAAACAACAAAACTCATAAGTTTGATCCTGGCAAGGGGACAAAGGGAGTTTTGCAAGAGTTGTTCCTAGCATTCATGAATCATCACAGCATTGGCTGCATCCAGAATTGCACATTTGTTCTGAACAACTCTGGCCATTAGCCAAAGGAGAGGAATTGGAAGAAAAATCTGAGTAGTTCTGTGGCAAATGTCTAAGTGAAAGTACCTGTACTTTTCCATGGTGCAAACAATAAGCAAAAATTGGGTTTTTTTATTTTAAAATGGAAAATATGAATTAAATGTGTAAAGAGGAAGTGACTATGAGGCAAATGACAGAAAGGAAGTTTCAATTTCTGTGGCAGATCAGTGCTTCTGAGGTTAATAAATTATGGCAATTCAACAGCAGCAAGTCTGCACAGAGGAAAGGTATGCCTGATGGGTTGTATGGCATTTATGAGAGAGATACGGGGTGCATATATAACTTGCAGGATAAGAATTGAGATTGTGAGCTAGGACTGCCCCCATTCTGCATGTATGTTTTTTCATTTGCTCTTGATAGGTGTAAATTAAGAGTACCTTTAGTGAATGTCTTGGAGTGTAAACAGAGCTTTGGCATGAAAAACAATATTGCTCAGAAATGACTGGCGTGTTGCTTGATTTCTTTTGCTTTTTTTAATCTCAATACTGCTATACTAGTTGACACCCTATTATGAATATTATTTTTATTATTTTATTGCTAAACTGTTTTTCCTAGTGCTGGATGTCTTCTGCACACTTTTACGTTCTGCGGATGCATGCAGTGGTAAAAATTTTTGTGAATTAATTATGTAATATTATAAAAGCATGAAATGTGTACTATCTCTGTTATGCTTTTAATAGGATTGTTATATGCTAAATGCTCCAGAGCACAACTTATTATCTTTCTTTCTTGTTGCTTTTTTTTTTTTTTCTGAAAAAAATGATTGGCTTTATTTTCATATTTATCTCCTCTTGCAGTCATTTATACCATGATGATATATTCATAATATCGTGTTTTTCCCTGATTTTGTACTCAGAAAGGTGAGACTGACTACTCAAGGAATTTTACAATTAAGTCTTATCTCCTTTCAGGTATGTGAGAAAGGTAGAGGGAAGGATGCTTTCAATAATGTAAAGGCAAGCGATTCGGTTTATTCTAGAGTTAACAACAGTGTGGAAAAAGTTTAATCTTAAAAAAGAAGAAAGAAAAAAGAACCCACACAAACTCATGCAGATGATGTCTTTTCTCTTGGATAGTTCAAAATGGTTTGGATTTAAAAGTTCAGTCTTGGCAGGCATTTAGTCCTCAAGGAATGTGTGCCTGTTAAATCCTGACCAAAAAATATATATATATATGTATGAAATTAAGAAATTAAAAATGTGAGGAATTCCATTCTTTTGAAGAATAATCTTTAAAAGCCAAATTGAACTCTGATTTATACCAAGGACCTCCATGGAGTAAAATCTGGGCTCATAAAACACACAAATCTCAAGATCAATTACTCAGAGAGCACATTGCTGAGGGCTGAAAAGGTATCTGGATGCTGACCTTTCCTCCTGGGGGCCTCCTGACATCTGAGCTGGTATGGGTCTGCTGCACATGAAGGGGAGCACATGTGGGGGCTCTGACACTTTTTGACCCCTGCTGGTCCAGCTCTTTGGATGCCATTGTGCAGGAGGGCCTGGAGAGGTAGCTAGAGGCTGGTAGTTTGGGGGCCTGTTTTGTCCTCATATCTTCCCCCTGCACCAAGAAAGGAGAAGTCCCTTCGATAGTGGGCCACCAGCAGATCACTAATGGCCCAGAGGGGCAACCTGGTTGCATCCCAGCTCAGAGCAGTAGAAGGGCAGGCTCAAAGCTGTATGCAAGCTGGGAAACTCTGGTGAATGTGGTTCAGATGTTAACAGTCAGCTGTGCTGTGCATACCAGTCTCCAGCCTTGCTTGTAAGCTAATGCTACCTTTTAGAACTTCATTTTCTTAGGTAGGATCTGGGGAGTTGTAGAATTCACATCTCAACATCCATCTAGAGGCAGAGAGGCCTTTCTTTGTGGGAAGAGGATTGGTGGGGGGACGTGTTGATTTGACATCCTCTGGAAAAATACAGGTGCAGTAAACACCTTGTGATTGTTACATTCAGCTATTAATGTTTTGTGTTTGTTTTTAATTTTTGGACACAGGACCTGTGAAGGGCGAAACATCCGATACAGGACATGCAGCAATGTGGTAAGTGAAGTCTACCTTTGATATAACTCAAATCATCACGTATGAGTGTTCATATAACAACGTTTATTTGCTCGTGTGATAGTGGAAACACAATAACATCTAAACCTCCTTTATATCACAATACCTCTAGCAAATCATTGTTGCTTTCTTAAGAAGCTGGCTCAACAATGGCATAGCATGGTGCTAAAATTAGAATTGCAGTCACAGTCTTTCTATGGAGTCTCTCATTGAAATTTCAGAGTTGCTCAGTTGCTTATTCCCACTCAGCAGGATGAAAGTCCCTTATGTTCCCAGTGCTAGTTTTGCAGGCAGCTGGTTTACATTGGGTCATCTGTCAGGTTTGAGGATTAAGCTGTTAAGAACAGAAGACAAGTTAGTAAGAGATGTACGTTGCTGTTCACCTGTGTCCTCCTAGCACTGTAATTCTGTTGCATATCTTAGAAAAGCAAATGCTTTTGCTTGCTATTTCTATAGTGAATGTAGTTTTCAACAGAATAAAATAGGAAACTTCAACTTCCATGCTCACCAAAGTGAAAGCGTGTTTTCACTGATGAAAATGGAAATAAAGACTTTCATACGGAAAGTTTTATTGGGTGCCAAGGATTGTGAAACCACTCAAATTACATGAAGCAGTGTCAGTTTTACCAGTAAAGATGGAAAATGAAATCAAACATGCTTAGGGCCAAGCTTTCTCATGCCTGATAGAACATATTCAGAAGCTTTTCAATAGGTGCTTTGTCTGAAGAAGTTAAAAAGTTTAAGCTAAAAAAAAAGAGTATTTTCCCTCATGTTTCGCTTATATTCTTTTTAGTAGACCACAGTTCACAATGAAAGAAGTTACTTGCTTCAGTCTGAGTTTCCCATGCTTCCCATTTCTCACACTTCTGCCTCAGAAATTGGTTATGGGTGTATCTACTGTGTCACTGGGATCTCCCATCAATCTTGATATTTGCTTTACTAACTGACATAAACTGGAACAATCAATAAATACGTCTTGCTGGCTGATTAGCAGTCAGATTTCCTGCTGATGTGAAGCATTTAGCCTACACTGTGACTTTGGAAGGAATGGGAAGATAAATTTGTGTCGGTCAAGTTGAATGCTATAGAGTTGTGTAATATGTTAAGGAGATGGAGAGTGCACTGGCTTTGTTTTGGGTTCCTGTGTGGATGCACACTGTGGCAGTTGCTTTTCCCTCCTGCTCTTGTGTGTACTAAGAGCAGTGATGTATACTAGCATCCTGCTGTGCTGTCGTTAGCTGTTCCAGGATCACACCAATGAAAGGCTGGCATTCTACCTGTGTTGCAACCCTTCTTCTGTAATCAGTGAGCTTAACTTTCCAAGACAAAGAAAATATTTTTTTTAATATTATTTTTAGCTTAGGTTCTCTTTTGGAACTGTAGACTTGAACAACTTTTCTCCAAAATAAATCCTTTCATAGTTGTCAGGTGATTCCTTAGCACACCTTATATTTGACAGTATGAGTACTTCAGACTTCTCAAAATGGCAGCTTCAATACTCACTCATTTGTTTAATATCAAGTAATCCAAAGTGAAACTCTCAAATTTCTTTACAATGCTAAAATTAGTAACAATTTTGCCACTGACTAATGAAGAACCAAGACTGCATTTATTATTTTAAATTTGCTTATTGAAGAGGGTGGAGAATAGGTTGTGCTGCCTTGTCTTTTCCATAACAAAAAGATTAAATAAGTTTTCATTTGTTTTTTTTCTTATAATTTTGCCAAACTAGCAATAAATCAAACAATCATTAAGCTTCAGATAGCATTGGACTTCAACCAGGCTTTTCAACTATGGCCTTATGTAAAAAAAGAAAAAAAGAAAAGAAACTTGGCTGTATTCATTTTGCAGGCATCTGATCTCAGGGGAAAACATTTTTTATTTATTTTTAAAATACATTGAGCATTTGATTCAGATGTTATGTTCTTCCATTTACGTTCATTACTAATCTGAGTTACTGAGCACTGGTATTCCTACTAAGAGCCTCTGCAATGACAATGACACCACAATCAGACAGAAATTACACGTTCCTGAAGTGGCAGGGAAAGTCCTCAGCCCTCTGTTTCTGGGGATGACTACCACTTTGTAGTACCTTGTACAGCATAAGTGAAAATCTGGAGCAGTTTGGGAAGCCTTAATGTGCATCTCTACTCTGAAAACCCCTGTTACAGAACCGCAAACTCTTCCAGCTTATCATATACTGTCTTTTTAATGATATGTTTGTCTCCTAACTCCCTGGGTACACACACACTGAAAGTTGCACACAATTGTGTATTTTTGCGTTTGTTTCCATTTTTAAGATTTCATCCTCAGTGTTAGTGAAAATCAGGAGGAGGGAACTGCCAGGCTCAGTGAGATCTACATTTTCATTTGTGTTGGCTGGCAGAGGATTGCATGAGAGTAAGGTCTGCATTCCACCCTTCTAAATGAAGTTAGCTATCATGCGCTGTGGAAAATTCCTTTTTGATTCCTGTGGAAATCAGAGTCCTGAAAAATGAGCTTTCATTGCCATTAGCTTGCGCTTAGCGTGAGCACTGTTGTTATCGTTCATAAAATAACTGATTTATTCTCTGCAAACCATCTTTCTGTGAACTGGCATGCTTTTGTTTATATGACTGTCCTCTTACAAGGAAAGGATGGGTAGTCGTGTAAAAGCAAGCTATTTCAAAGCTGAAATTAGAGAATGGGAAGAGCACTTCTTGGAGTCTGGCAATGAACACATTTTTGTAGGCACTATCATTTGCAAGATTTTGCTACAGCTGGTTTTAATTCATTCTGAAATTAAATAATAGGAAAAAATGTAAAAGAAAAGAAAAAAAAAAGCACCAAGGATGATATAAAGAAACAGAGAAACAAGAAGAGGCAGAGGCACATCTATTTCTTCGGTGGACTGTACTATTCTAGGGATGCTGAATCTTTCTGGATTTACTGGCTAAGAGATTGACACTGCTGTCTATAAAGCTTGTGAGCAGTCTTTAAAATGTTGAATCTAACCCAGTATGTTCACCAATTGCATTGCTTGGTGTTGATCAGAAACTGGAAAGATTGTGGCTATGAAGCCACATGTGTAAATAGTGAAGGAAGGAATGAGGGAATCTGATGATGATTTAGGGTTGAATTGCAACAGTCTTTTTTTCTTATTACTATTCATACTGACTCCAAGCATGTTACCAGCCATTTTGGAAAGTAATCATGGGGGAAGGGAAGGAGTCATGTGTTTGTTCTGTAGAAAATTACTCCAAATGCAATGAAAGTTGGTTTTTTTTTGGTTTTTTTTTTTTTTTTAATATCTGGTGGCGTTGCAATATTACATGCTGTGCAAAATAAACAATATATTTCCAGACTTTGAGTAGGATTTTTTTACTAGATTTTTTATCACGTTTAGCATGTTCTCTGTTTCATTTTATGGGCATGCTCTTAGTTGCAAAGTTCTCTAAAACTTTTGTACCAGACTGTCATGGTACCTCATTTGCCTCTTTTTTTTTTTTGCTCCTATTATCACTATACTGTTTCATGTTTTCTTCTATTTAAACGAAAATCTTTCTGTTTATCAAGCTTTTTTTTTGTGTGTGTGTGTGTGTGTGTGTGTGTGTGGTTGAAAAATTCTTCAATTTGCCTGACGTTTTGCTTTTTATTGCACTGCTTGCTGAATCAAACCAGAGGAAAACTGAGATGCAGGGGAGCAGTGCTTCATTCTCAAAGTCATTTATTTATTTATTTATTTATGCCTGACAACAGGATAATGAAAACTACAAATAATGTTGGTTTTGAGATTTTACTGTTTGACGTTCAAAAAGACAATGCTGTAAGTTGCACAAGATTACTGCCTCTTTCTGCACAGTTTAAAGCAGTTCCATTAAGTCTAATATTGAATTTGTGGATAGTAGATCCCAGTAATCAGACCACTGAAACTTGTAAATACCACATGCAGCTCTTTTTTTCACTTGGCTGAAATACCAACTCTAATGGTGTTCCTCATTTTCTGGATTCCATTCAGACAAGCAATTCCCATCCATGCTTCTTATCAACTCATGCTGCTTTTTGCATACACTGGTATCTACACTGTCTGTCTCACTTTTGACAAAATGACACTATATTCTTGCCATATAGCAAAGCCCAGCTTATTGGAAACTGTCCCCTGAAACTTCCAAATAAGTGAGTAGCTGCTCCTAGAAACATTGACTCATTGACAATGAGGTGCACCACCACTAGATGTTTTTCAGGTCTACACAAATAGTTAATAGAATTTAATTTTTCTACCTTCTGATACTATGTGAAATCTTTTTACAATTGAACCAGTTTCCGTTTTGCAATAAAATTTTGTGCTTTCCACCACTGCATCAATATTGAAATCGTTAGTGAAAAAATTTCTTTTGTGTTCTTTTTCAGGGAAAAAAATAAACAAATATAAGCAGTACATTTCCAGACTAGCTCAATGTCAGCTTACTTTTTAAGTAGAATTTCTTAAGTAGAAACTCAAATTATTTAGTGTGACTACATCTTTTCTTAAAAATGCTGGACTTTAGTAGCTGCCATCTGATTTTTGAACAGGTGCACTATAAAACTTCTGTGCGTTGCCTAGCAATTGCTTCTAATTATTTCTTTGCAAAAAAGGTGTATTTGATATGTTGCTAATGATGCCAGCTTCAATATTGCAATATTATTTTTTCAGCTTGCAAGCCTGTGTGTCTTTGACTACTGAAAAATATTTTTTAAAATCCACCATTGCTATCATCCTTTGCAAACAAAACTCTTTTAAGCCAGACATTCAGCATAACTTCCATCACACTGGCATTTCAAGATTCTGTTCACTGTAGTGAATTCATACATTTAAATTCAGTATTTCTGATAATGAATTTTAAACACTTTCTATAAATATTTAAAAGGCATGAGCAAGAAGAAAATATGGAATGAAAAACTTCATATTGAATTGTTAACCATAAAGGAAAGGTCTTTGAGAAAAAAATATATATTAAAAAATT